CTTCTCCATCTCTGACAACGCCTATCAGTTCATGCTGACTGGTGAGTTACTCGGTTTTCTTTAAAACTACTTGGCTGTGAACACTTGCAGAAGAGAAAAAAAAGTCTTTTCACTGCATAGTCTAGTTTAATGTTGTTGTGAGGGTCATGCTTTCTCATCATTGGAAATAGTGAGATTTTCCCTTGGTTGAGGATTGGGTTAGAGACCATTTAGTCAAACCTGACATCCACAAATGCCTGGGCCCTGATGGGATGGACCTGTGAACTCTGAGGGAACTGGAGGACACCACATCTTGGCCTCTCTCACTCATCTTTGAATGGTTATGGCAGTCTGGAGAGGATTGTGAGGACCAGAAAAAAGCAAATGTCACAAGAGTCTTCAAAAAGGGCAAAAAGGAGGATCCGACGAACTGCAGGGCTGTCAGCCTCACGTTAATCCCTGGAAAGGTGTTAGAACTGCTCATCCTAGAGGCCATCTCTAAGAATGAGGAATACAAGAAGATGGTCAGAAGTAGTCAACGTGGATTCACCAAATGGAAATCATGCTTACCTGACCTGATTGCCTTCTACACTGGGACAACTGCACGGAGGGGTGAGGGTGAGCAGTGGATGTTGTCTACCTGGACTTCAGCAAGGGTTTTGACACTGTTGCCTATGATATCCTCATAGGCAAGCTCAGGAAGAGCAGGCTGGACAAGTAGATGGTGGATTGAGTACTGTCAAAATGGCAAGTCTCAGAGGGCTTCAATAGTGGCTCAGAGTCTAGTTGGAGGTCTGTCAACTGTGGTGTCCCCCACGGGTCAATACTGGGCCCAGCACTGTTTAATTCCTCAATGACTTGGATGAGGGGGTAGGTGCCTTCTAAACAAGTTTGCTGATGACACAAATCTGGGAGTAGTGGCTGATTTCCCTGAGGGCTGTGCATGTTATAGAGATGGGCAGAGAGGACCTGTCTGAAATTCAACACAAGTGGGTGCAGAGCCCTGCACCTGTGAAGCAACAACCCCGTACACCAGCACAGGCTGGGGGCTGATCTGGGGGGAAAGCAGCTCTGCGAGGGGCCTGGGGGTCCTGCTGGAAAACAAGCTGTCCACAAGCCAGCAGTACACCCAGTAAGATTCATTTCTGTAGAAGTCAAACCACCAGCAGTTTCTAAATCAACTACCGGGCACGTCAATTTATGTGACTTATGAACATACAGAAAAAAGGTGCACTCTTAAAAGACAAGTCTTGCCTTACAAAACTGCTGATTATTTTAACAAAGGAGAGCTGGTCGAGGTAATCTGAATTCAATTAAATACTTCAGTACAGCTGTAAAGCAGCTATTCTTAACATATTTTTTATACTTGCATTCACTAATAGTTATAGAATTGAGAAAATTCCAAAAGAACTGCTTAAAAATATGGAAGACATAGTAAAAATATTTTTTACAGTTTTCATAGTGCAAAGATTTAATGAATGAAATCGCACAGGAATCTGTTCTGGGCCTTAAACTGTTCAACATTTTTTAAAATGATCTGGAAATTATGACAATATTTCTGATTTGACTAAGTCCTTCAGGTCAGTAAAGATGCAGTCAAACAGTGAAGAATTTCAAGGGGACTTTATGACATTAAGTTCTTATTCAGTGATGGTGCAACAAATTTTTGTGAACAAGAGTGTAAAACAATTGACACTGGGAAAAAAAAACCCTCATTGATGAGAACTGCTGCTTCTGTTATAAATATCCTTAAATGCTGCTTCAAACATTTGGTCTCAATGATAATAAATGTATGAAATAAAAAGTTGGCAATTGAAGATCACTGAGCAAGAAGTAGAGACCAAAACAGAAAGCATCATTATATCATGGCTGTTACAAAGGAGTATCTGCACCCTGTGTGCTGTGTGCATTTCCAGCCTTCCTTCTTCACAAAAGAACGTTGTCAAATGGAAGAGGTCAAGATGAAGATGAAAAGGCTTCCCTAAGGTAGAATAGGATGTCTGCACTGGTAACTGTAGAAAAATGATTTTTGCTACTTTATAAAGTTATGCATGGCATAGAGAAGGTGAATATACAAGACAGAATACAGGAAAAAACAAGCTCACCATGAGGAACATTTTTTTCCTTCATCATTAAATAGTTAAAAAATGCAGCAGATCAAATGATAAAAGTTGAAGCAACACAAAAAGAGGTGAGCATGGGTTAAAAAAGCAACCAAGCAAAATTCTGGAAAGGAAACTCAGCCCAAGCTACTGCACACACAAACATCAAATTGAGGTCTGGAAGTATCAAAATTTCAGTATTCTAGAGCATGAGACACTGTTCTGGTAAAGATTTATGAAGTTTCCATGATTTTCTTTTTGCAACAGTCAACTGGCTACTGACATAAAAACTATTTAAGGGGCTTGTGGACTGATCAGGAGTAGTTGTTGCTTGTGTTGTAAAGCTTATGAGAAACACATGATCCAGTTCACCTCAGCTGGCTGACAGATCTTTTAATCAGCAATTCTACAAAACTGCTCCTTTGTTGAAATCATTTTCATAAAGAAAATGAGCACGTTGACATGAAGAGAATATCCAGAAAAAGAAGCACATTTGCTACACCTGCCAAGCATATCAGGGCTGACATATCAGCTTCCCAGCTGCAGTTGGGAACATTGAAATATTAAAAAAGAAGTAGGAGTGAAGATAGGTATGCTTTTGAAAGGAATTATCTGCCTATTGCCAGTGCAACTTCTAAAAGTTACAGGAATATTTTTATCAAGGATATTCATGACACTTTTTGTAATCATTTTTCTGCCTCTTCCCCAGATCGGGAGAACCAGTCCATCCTGATCACGTACGTACACCCCCTGCTCGGGTCCCTGAGGGGCTGCCCAGGGCCAGGGCCCCTCCTGCCTGACCACACGCTCTCTGCTTCTCTCCTTGCTCTGACAGCGGAGAATCCGGTGCCGGGAAGACTGTGAACACAAAGCGTGTCATCCAGTACTTTGCAACAATTGCAGCCAGTGGGGACAAGAAGAAGGAGGAGCAGACATCAGGCAAAATGCAGGTGAGTCAGGAAGAACAGACTGGACACTTGGGCCGTCATTGCCCTGTCAACTCAACACAGTCCATGAATAATTTTCCCCCTGCAGGGAACGCTTGAGGATCAAATCATCAGTGCCAACCCACTGCTGGAGGCCTTTGGAAACGCCAAGACCGTGAGGAACGACAACTCCTCGCGCTTTGTGAGTTGGTGACTTGGACAAAATCTCTCCCTCTCATGGCAGGACAAGTGATGCCTGAGCAGGTCTCCATGTAAAGGAGATGTCAGAGGAAAACATCCAGATTCAAATGTTGTTGCTTCTCCCTAACAGGGCAAATTCATCAGAATCCACTTTGGGGCCACAGGCAAACTGGCTTCTGCTGACATTGAAACTTGTAAGAGACTCTCTTGGACTGGTCCCATCCCCTCCCAAATTCCCACCTCCATGTGCATTGCTGTGCTAACTCTTTCTACCTTCCTGGGCAGATCTGCTGGAGAAGTCCAGAGTCACTTTCCAGCTCAAGGCGGAAAGAAGCTACCACATCTTTTATCAGATCATGTCCAACAAGAAGCCAGAGCTAATTGGTAGGAAGGAGCATTATGGCTTTTTGAGGATGAACCCTGAGCAACACTTCCCTCTATCACTTGCTTACCAAAACTAAACCTGTGCCTTGCCTCTTCCTGCTTTCAGACATGCTCCTCATCACCACCAACCCTTATGATTTCCACTATGTGAGTCAAGGGGAGGTCACTGTTCCCAGCATTGATGACCAGGAGGAGCTGATGGCAACAGATGTGAGTAACACAGCAAAAAGGTCTCTACTGTGCATATCTCGAGGGTGACATCGCTGACCCACTAAGGACATGTATTTGAATTCATGTTTTTTTATTGCAGAGTGCCATTGACATCCTGGGCTTTACTCCTGATGAGAAAACAGCCATCTACAAGCTGACAGGGGCTGTCATGCACTATGGGAACCTGAAGTTCAAGCAGAAACAACGAGAGGAGCAGGCAGAGCCTGATGGCACAGAAGGTATCAGCAAATTCAGTGACTGATTTGTTCAAAGCACTTGTCTGTCTCCAGAGATGATGTGTTAAGCCTCCAAAGACAGACCTCTGTTGGGTTGAGTCTCCACATACAACACTGAGAAACCCATCTTTGTATATAGTCCATCTAAATGCAGAGGTGTTTTCTCAGCCATAGGAAATTCCCTTATTCTATCCAACAGACACAGCTTGAAAGCAGGAACTTCAACACGCAATATGACTCTCTCTCTCTCGAATAGCTTCAACCATTAAGATGCCATGATATCCAATTATATTTTTGGTTAAATAATTTTTGCTACCCAGAAATCTACTTACCACAATAAAAGAATGTGGCTCATGCTCACCTCATGCATTACTAGAGGCTTTTAGGGTTCTTCTGGGAAATTTCAGGTTTAAACCATACCTGTTCTTGCTTTCAAGAAGGCCATCATTAGCTTGCACAATTCAAATTCCTTCCCAAGCTTTCTGTATGGGATTAAATGCTCTTCCATTCCTAAAATATGAACACCATCCATGAAATACTTTTCTCTTCCTTTCCCCATCTCTAGTGGCTGACAAGGCTGCCTACTTGACGGGTCTTAACTCAGCTGAATTTCTGAAGGCCTTGTGTTATCCCCGAGTCAAGGTTGGGAATGAGTATGTGACCAAAGGTCAAAACGTGACACAGGTAAAATCTGCAGGTTGACCATGCATGGCTTGAGGGAGTACATGAGCATTCTTCTGTGACCCCGGGAGGGAACTCTGGTCCTGTCTCCTCTGCTTTAGGTGAACAATTCAGTGGGTGCCCTGGCAAAGGCTATGTTTGAGAAGATGTTCCTGTGGATGGTTGTTCGCATCAACCAACAGCTGGACACGAAGCAGCCCAGGCAGTACTTCATTGGTGTGCTGGACATTGCTGGCTTCGAGATCTTTGATGTAAGGAACAAGGATTTGACATCCTAGTCAAGCGAGGAACGAGGAGGGGTCATGAGGACTCAGACACACACTTCTTTTTGAGAGGATTCAAAAGTTTATCCTTCTCATCTGATGTTTTCTAGGAATCCCTCCCTCTTCTCTGTCACTGTAGCCCCCTCAAATGGCTTTGCTGACAAACACCAATTCTAACATTGCCTTTCTGGCAAACAGAGGCTCGTGAGCTCACAAAGGTCTCAGGCTTTGCAAACAGAGAGAGAGCTCGAGGACTAAGACTCACACAGCTTTGGGCCAAAGGGCTGGGTGCTCTTGGGAAACCAAGGAAAGGCTGTGCCATGGGCAAGCTCCCAGCATGTTTCCTGAGCACAGAAACCCCCAGACTATTGATGTGAGGGCAGAGAAATCCTTGGGTGGGACACGGAGGAGGTTTCCGCTGTCCAGGAGGTCAGAGACCTGCAACACATACCCGATGGAGCAGCTGAGGTTACCAAAGGATTTGCTGTTGAGTAGCACAGGGAAAAAGAATTGTAGCTTGATTTCAGAGGTAATGATAAAAAAAATCCTTCAAGGCCAGGGAGTGGTACAATAGAAGCCCTGCTAAGGAAACACAGGCTGGGACATTAGGGTTGGGGTTGGTGTTTCAGCTGGGGAACTTCAACCAGCCTTAGGAGAATGCCAGCAAAGGCCTGTGGTGTTTGGCACACTTTGAGAACCTGTGCACTTTTCCTTGCTTTGGGCAGTTCAACAGCTTTGAGCAGCTGTGCATCAACTTCACCAATGAGAAACTGCAACAGTTCTTCAACCACCACATGTTCGTGCTGGAGCAGGAGGAGTACAAGAAGGAGGGAATTGAGTGGGAGTTCATTGACTTTGGGATGGACCTGGCTGCCTGCATTGAGCTCATTGAGAAGGTACCTCTCCCATACACGTGTATGATGAATGCTGGAATTATGTGATGTTTCTGAGGCAGGTTCAGCTCAGAGCCAGACATGCAGCATCAGTTAAGCAAAATATTTTGCACTGAAATTTAGTTTAGTCTGGGAAAGAGAAATGGGGAAATGCACCTCTGTGTCATCAGTCCTGCATTTTCTGGTCTTCAAGCTTGGAAAAGTAGCCTGGACTCCCGCCAAGAGTGAGAGTGCTTTTAAAACAAAGCGGAGTCATTCTCCTTTTCTTTTTCCTTTGAAGGCTCAAATCTGAAGTCCACAGACAAATCTGGGCAATAAGTATTATCTCACCGGGCCTCCCACAACCACAGGGCCTCTTGTGTCTCTTTTCCCAATTATGTTTCTGTTTAGCACTGCTCCCTCTAATTCTGCACCAAGTCCAATGTGCACTGGACAGACATCCTTACCAGTTCCATGAAGATTGGCTGCAGGGAGGCAAAGGGAAGGCAGAAATAAGCTCCCTGCCTGAGAACAACTCCTGACAAAGCCAGGCCCTCATCCAGGCTGAGATGCTACGGCACCCCAGTAGTACCTTTGATGTTCATAGCACAGGCTTCTTGTCACTGTCATAGCATCACAGAGTGGTCTGGGTTGCCAGAGACAGGGACACTTTGCCCTAGATCAGGTTGGTCAGTGTCCCATCCAATGTGGCCTTGGACATTTCCATTATCATCTTTATTTGTCATTTCCTGTGATACCTTCCAGCCCATGGGCATCTTCTCCATCCTGGAAGAGGAGTGCATGTTCCCCAAGGCAACTGACACCTCTTTCAAGAACAAGCTCTATGACCAGCACCTGGGCAAGTCCAACAACTTCCAGAAGCCCAAACCTGCCAAAGGCAAGGCTGAGGCCCACTTCTCCCTGGTGCACTACGCTGGCACAGTGGACTACAACATCACTGGGTGGCTGGAGAAGAACAAGGACCCCCTGAATGAAACTGTCATTGGGCTGTACCAGAAATCATCTGTGAAGACCTTGGCCTTACTCTTTGCCAGCTATGGTGGAGCAGATGCAGGTCAGTTCAGTGAAAATTCTGTTGTCAGTGTGGGACAAAATTTTCTCAGATTTAAAGCCACAAACACTAAAATTGTAAAGTTACTTTGTGTTCTTTATTTCCTCATTGCAATATCCACATTCTAATACTTTTCTTTTTTTACTTTGATGCACAGACAGTGGTGGTGGTGGTGGCAAGAAAGGAGGCAAGAAGAAGGGTTCTTCTTTCCAGACTGTCTCAGCTCTTTTCAGGGTAAGTTTAATATTCATTAAGTCTTTGCAGATGGAAAGCAATTTTTTTCTGAATCTGAAAGATCTGTTTGCATTTTGGACATAACCCTTGTCATCCTTTAAAATCCTTCCTTTTCCATTCTTGTAAATTACAGACTTTTTGTCTGCAATGCCACATCCATCTTTGAAAATTCTGTGAAAATATCCAAATGGCTAAGTTCACCTACTTAGATAGAAGTGAAAAACATATCAGCTAAATTCCTTAAAATCCTCTCCACAGAATTCAGATATATTTCCTTGACCTGTTTTGTTGTATCTATGCAGATTTTCAGTGTTGACTCATTGTAAAATTTGAAAGTAATAGAACAAACATCAAAAGCAAAGATGAAATTACCCTAAGATTATAAGGCAATGATTTGATTTCAATGTGGAAAGAGAGTGAAGGTTAAATTACACTAAATAATTGGCTTGTGAGGTCAGTTTTGAGTTACGTCTTAAAGGTTTGAGACTGAATTACTACTAGAAGAGTCACTTTGCATGGGTTGCAGACATATTGCATCCATTTGGAAAGAACTTACTTAACTGTCAAATCATGCTTAACCAAGAGTATGTGTGATTTTCTTTAATTGCCCAAATATAAACCACAAGAATTACCAGCTCAAAGGAAAACTGTGAAATAGCAGCCCTGTGTTTGGATGAGGAGGTCAAGGAAAAGTAATACTAACCATTATTCTATAAAAGAATTTCAAACCCAAAAATTTGTTTCTATTTCCAGTTTTCCCTTTGGGACTTCTGAGAGTTGTTTTAGAGAAGACAAGTTTGCAACCTGAAACTCCCAGTTTGATGCATCCTCTGTTAAGATTCCAGTGCTTACACTTAATAATATAAACTTTGTTTGATGATCTCACAGGAGAATTTAAACAAGCTGATGGCCAACCTGAGGAGCACCCACCCTCACTTTGTACGGTGCATCATCCCAAATGAAACAAAAACACCTGGTAAGGACACCCAAGAGGAGGAAAACTTGAGCAGCAGAAGCTCCTTTCCTGAGTGTCCAAGAGCAGGGTAGTCACTAATGCTGGTCTTTGTCAGGTGCCATGGAGCACGAGCTGGTGCTGCACCAGCTGCGCTGTAACGGCGTGTTGGAAGGGATCAGGATCTGCAGGAAAGGGTTCCCCAGCAGAGTCCTCTATGCTGACTTCAAACAGAGGTAAGAGCACTGCACTTTTCTGCCCATTCAGACCAAGCTGAAGAGCCTGAATATTGTGATATACTTTAAACTTCGTACTTTAAATTGGTAGTGAACAGCAATATAGAAATGTTTCACCATCAGTTCATGATGGCAGGGCATTGCTGAGATCAGGATTCTCTTGTACTTAGAAGTAGTATTATATATTAAAAACAATCCCCAAATCCTGAATTGAACTGTCTCCAGGCATAAGATTTGTTCAATGGGACAGTCTTAGAAGGCTGGGGGTTCAATCACAGTAGTGGTTTTGACAATTTCTTCATGTTTTCTTCTGCAGATACAGAGTACTCAATGCCAGTGCCATCCCAGAGGGACAGTTCATGGACAACAAGAAGGCTTCTGAGAAGCTCCTTGGGTCCATTGATGTGGACCACACCCAGTACAAATTTGGTCACACCAAGGTAAAAACAAGACCTGTGTTAAAAGTTTGTCAAAAGCAGTGAGGGTGGGCTGCTCTGCCAGGGGGATGGGGCACAGCACAATAATGTACCAGAGCTGACAGGGGGAGGCCTCAATCAGGAAGTGCCCAGCACCACTGTACTCAATCAAGGCAAATGAGGATGACCTGGGAGTGGTAGTCAGATTCAATCAGGAGTCCAGGTCATCAGGCAGGTTTGTTACAATAAGGAGGGTCTGAGGTGAAGCCATAAAGCCTTGGTTTTCACGATTTGGCAGGGTCAGGTATAGGTAGGCTAACAAGGCAAGGCCCTATTCTTTAATTCATGGACCTATACATAGCAATGACATATGTTTAATATCAAGCCAGGAAGTAAGTGAGCAGGTCATGGTAGAGCTCACTGGGGTCCATGATCAGGCGTGGGGGTGGCTGAGGCTGTGGCTGAACTGGAAACAGTACTCATGACACATAGCTCAGACAGGGACTGAACGCTTAGGTCTGAGACTATGGGAAGCTCTAAGCCCTTGGACAGAGGGCATGGGAGAAGGCCCAAGGTGATGCTGGTCATGGCCATTAAGGTCTGTCAGGATACTGAAAGACGCTGTGTGTTTAGCCTGTACTACCTCACAATGACATGCTGTACCATTTCCTCTCTCAAGGTGTTCTTCAAAGCTGGGCTGCTGGGACTCCTGGAGGAGATGAGAGATGACAAGTTGGCAGAAATCATCACTCGCACACAGGCCAGGTGCAGGGGCTTCCTGATGAGAGTGGAGTATAAGAAAATGGTGGAAAGGAGGTAGACTTTTCTAAAATTTAGTTAATTCTCATGGTATTTGGCTAATGAAGTTTAAATTAATCAAAGCAGAGCTGTGTAATAATCACATGAATTTCATTTCAGAGAGTCCATCTTCTGCATCCAGTACAACGTTCGTTCCTTCATGAATGTCAAACACTGGCCCTGGATGAAGCTGTTCTTCAAGATCAAGCCCTTGCTGAAGAGTGCAGAGTCTGAGAAGGAGATGGCCAACATGAAGGAAGAGTTTGAGAAAACCAAGGAAGAACTTGCAAAGTCAGAGGCAAAGAGGAAGGAGCTGGAGGAGAAAATGGTAGCACTGGTGCAGGAGAAAAATGACCTGCAGCTCCAAGTGCAGGCTGTGAGTATCACTGTTTGTTTCTCCCTGGAAAAAGAATGATAAACTGTCAGAAGGCATCTTATCCTACGCAGTAACTTGCAGGAACTGATGGATAGTAGAAAACAGTCTAAATCACACCCTCTAAGGCACTGTAACGTTGAGGAAACAGGCACTGGCATGGGCAGGGTGAGACCTATAGCAGCCTCACATGACACTCACCATTCCTGCTGTCTGAGGAAAGAGCCATGAAACACCAGCCAACATGTGCTGCACATCTGAGAGTTCTGAACTGGAAGGGAAAGATCTCAGCTTTCAAAGAAGTGTTTCTGTCTAATGCAGTAAAGGCAAACCAGGGAAGCACACACTTTCCCCATCTACAGCTACACTAGAAGGCCTTGATTACTTTCAGAAACACAGATACTTCCCATTCAAACTCAATTAGGAAAAGGCAGTTTCTTGACACCAAATGAACTGATCAACTAGTTAAGGAAATGCTTGATGTGGTCTTTAAAGAAGCCACAGATGTAGATGAGGGCAAGAACTTTATTGGTCTTGCAGCAATTTTAATACCTGTAGGAAAGTAATAAATACCTTTCTCAACTAATTTATTGTCAGAAAAGTAAAAGCCATTACATCCCAAATATTTTAAGACTTTTGTTGAGACAATTAAAAAGAAAAAGCTGCTAGATGCATTTTCCATCAGAAAAAAAAAAAAACACTAAGCCCTTGCTCCTGACAAAATTAGTGATGGAAGTAACCACTGTTCGGTTGTGCTTTTGTGTTTGTGCTACGAAGCATTGTCATGGGCACTCAACCAGCGAGGTGTATTTAGGAAACACAGAAAATATAGAATAAATATTGATTCCAAATGACAAGGTTTACAGTAAACACCAGTCAAGATCTTCCAGTTGCTGGACTTGAAAGTCAGGTTCAGCTCCCATTTTAACACAAGCCTACTCAGTGATACAAAAGACAGAGCACAGAAAGTTCAAAATACTACAACTCACAAAATTCTGTCTCCCCACCAGGAAGCAGATAGCCTGGCTGATGCTGAGGAAAGGTGTGACCAGCTCATCAAAACCAAAATCCAACTGGAAGCCAAAATTAAAGAGGTGACTGAAAGGGCTGAGGATGAGGAGGAAATCAATGCTGAGCTGACAGCCAAGAAAAGAAAACTGGAGGATGAATGTTCAGAGCTGAAGAAAGATATTGATGACCTTGAGCTAACACTGGCCAAGGTGGAGAAGGAAAAACACGCCACTGAAAACAAGGTACACACACAGGGAGTCACATTAAGGGGTCAAAAAATCATTGTTTCTAGGAGCAAAGGAGCAACCTAAGGACATGTTGGCTTTTGAGTGCATGAGCTGGGCCTGACCTAAGCAGTGAAAAGAAAAGTGCAATTTCTGGCTAAGCACAGCAGAGGGAGGATTTCCCTGAGTCACCAAGCAAGCTTTCAACTGAATTTTGATAATTGCTCATATTTGTAGGTGAAAAACCTCACAGAGGAGATGGCAGCCCTGGACGAGACCATTGCCAAGCTGACAAAAGAGAAGAAAGCCCTCCAAGAGGCCCATCAGCAGACCCTGGATGACCTGCAGGTAGAAGAGGACAAAGTCAATACACTGACCAAAGCCAAGACCAAGCTGGAGCAGCAAGTGGACGATGTAAGCACACGGACACAGAGCAGGAACAGACAGGTATGGAGTTCGAGCTGGCTGGTGGAGCACTGATGGCCTTGTTCTGTGTAGCTGGAAGGGTCCCTGGAGCAAGAGAAGAAACTGCGCATGGACCTGGAGAGAGCCAAGAGGAAACTGGAAGGAGACCTGAAGCTGGCCCAGGACAGCATCATGGATCTGGAGAATGATAAGCAGCAGCTGGATGAGAAACTGAAGAAGTAAGTGTGGCCCTGGGGCACCTCCGTGCTGGGCTGCAGCTCTTGTCTTTTTCCTTTGAGCTGTAACCCACTTTGCTTTGCCCAAAGGAAAGACTTTGAAATCAGCCAGATCCAGAGCAAAATCGAGGATGAACAAGCCCTGGGCATGCAACTACAGAAGAAGATCAAGGAGCTGCAGGCAAGTATCTGCTCCTTTGCCTGCCTGCCCCAGGCTCGGCTCAGGGAGGAGGAGGGCACGGGTGTGAAGGGTCCCTCGTGTTCTCCAGGCCCGTATTGAGGAACTGGAGGAGGAAATCGAGGCCGAGCGAACCTCTCGCGCTAAAGCAGAGAAGCATCGGGCTGACCTGTCCAGGGAGCTGGAGGAGATCAGCGAGCGCCTGGAAGAAGCAGGAGGGGCGACGGCAGCTCAGGTGGAGATGAACAAGAAGCGGGAGGCAGAATTCCAGAAGATGCGCCGGGACCTCGAAGAGGCCACGCTGCAGCACGAAGCCACGGCTGCCGCCCTGCGCAAGAAGCACGCGGACAGCACAGCTGAGCTGGGGGAGCAGATCGACAACCTGCAGCGCGTCAAGCAGAAGCTGGAGAAGGAGAAGAGTGAGCTCAAGATGGAGATTGATGACTTGGCCAGTAACATGGAGTCTGTCTCCAAAGCCAAGGTATGGAATTGCAGTAGAACATGCTCGCAGGGCCAAGGTGTGGCACAAAGGCTGCATCTACCAGCCACATTCCCATAGACAATATCCCTGCTGTGAGAACGAGGCAGAGTGCAGGCGTTCATCTCCTTCCCTTCCCTGTGTTTGCTCCCTAGGCAAACCTGGAGAAGATGTGTCGCACACTGGAAGATCAGCTGAGTGAGTTAAAAACGAAGGAGGAGCAGAATCAGCGCATGATCAATGACCTCAATACACAAAGAGCTCGTCTGCAGACAGAGTCAGGTGAGACATCCTCATTCCTGAAGTGCAATGGGAGGACCTGCACGCCATGAGCACACCTTTGGGTGCAACGTGACAACTGGTATAACCTCTCAGGCCACTCCTGGTTACATGGCTTTACAGGCAGAAAGGGTCACAGGATTAATAGTCTGGTTCCCTTTTTTCCCTTTACCCTTCCCAGGTGAATATTCCCGCCAGGTGGAGGAAAAAGATGCTCTGATTTCTCAGCTGTCTAGGGGCAAGCAAGGATTTACCCAACAGATTGAGGAACTAAAGAGGCATCTAGAGGAAGAAATCAAGGTATGGAAGCACCCTAGTGTCCACAGCCTGGACCACCCCTGGATATAGGATCTGGAGAATCCTAGAGTCTGACCCAAGACTGGTTCCATGTTCTTTCCCCAAACACCTGTAGGACTGGAGGGAACACCAATAATACACAAACCTCTACTTGTGAGCTGGAGAGGGAAGGATGTGTGATGCTTTCGAAGCTGGAGGAAGTCCTCCACAAGGCTTTCTTGCCATTCTGATGATCCTCTCTAAGACAGGATTCAACCACACATGTCAAAACATTTACACAAACAGCTGATTACTGTCCCCAGAGCACCTGTCACTAATATGTCCTGATCCTCCAGACACATCAATAAGGGCCCCATCAGATGCCAGCTCTGTATTTGCCTAATTAGAGGTTCATTCTAATTTCACTGCCAAGAGGCATCTCAAGACAAGTGTTGGAGTTACACACCCCCATGTCCCCACAGGCCAAGAACGCCCTGGCCCACGCCCTGCAGTCCGCTCGCCACGACTGTGACTTGCTCCGGGAACAATATGAGGAGGAGCAGGAAGCCAAGGGGGAGCTGCAGCGCGCCCTGTCCAAGGCCAACAGCGAAGTGGCCCAGTGGAGAACCAAATACGAGACGGACGCGATTCAGCGCACGGAGGAGCTCGAGGAGGCCAAGTACGTGGGGAGTGGGATGAGAAATGA